ATGAACCATAACACAATCTTTTTATTTCATTTTTTAAATTTTGATTATGCTCCAATAAACTAAAGCTGTGTCATTCACTAACAGGTACAACCAGAGTTGTAGGATATGTTACACCATGATACATACTTTTTGGTTTTCATCAGTGGTTTCCGGCTCCTAACTCTGACCCACCTCATCTGAAAGTAGGTCGGTTAGGACCCTCCTTATACCAGAACAGATGCCCATCCCCCAAAGGAAGGGATATTTCAAAGAGCTCAAAGAGAATCCGAATAGACACACCTTGCTGAGGTTTCCCACCCTGTTAATTAGCAATCATGCCAGTGCAATGAGGTCTCCATAAAACCCAAAAGAGCATAACTGGGAGGGTTTCCAGATAATTAAGTATGTGCAGGTCCCTGGAGGCTGATGCCAGCGAAGGCATGGCAGCTCCGTGTCCTCCCACACACCTCGCCCTGTGCATCTCTCCATCCATGCCCTTTGTAATCTCCTCTAGAATAAACCAGAAAACGTTTTTCCTGCATTCTGTGAGCTGCTCGAGCACATTAATGAAATCTGAAGGAAGATTGTGGGACCCCCGATGTAGAGCCTGTTGTTCAGACTCATTGGGAAGACTTGCAAGGAGTCAGGGGAGCAGGCTTGCAGACTGTGTCCTCAACCTGAGCCATCTGACCCTGTCTCCAAAGACACAGTCAGAACAAATTGGAGGGAAGGACACCAGCTGGTGTCTGCTGTAGAACAAACTTCTTTCCTGCTTGCTGGTGGGGAGAAATCTCCCATGATTTTCGAGGTCAGACAGGTTTTCTGTGTTGATTGTGGTGTGGGGAGAAGGAAAACCCAACATTTTTTCTTTCCCAGTAGACTGGGTATAAGCTTCAGCTTTATTAGCAAAAGGAAGCAAAATTAAGCCTCCTTTCAGTAGCATGCCTCGAATATTATTGGGTTTTAATTCACATATCTATAATTATGAACATTTCTACAATTATTTATGAAATGTTGCACTTTGTCAGAGGTGTGGAGCACCACCTGGATGACTCTCCTTGAACAGAGAGCAGTTATCTCCATTTTGGCTAAACCTGGTCCTCTCTCCATGTACTGGCTAAGCCATTTCTATATCCCTTCGGTTGGTGTTGAGCAATGTAAACAGGACTGGCTGAGGTGCTGAGGCATACTTTGCACCTGAAGTTTTTCCGGGGGAGGGGGGGTTGGAGGGGGTTGTTGTTTTGTTTTGTACCGGGTATCAAACATACAATCTCATGCTTACCAGACAAGCACTTGAGCCACTGAACTAAATCCCCGGCCCAACCCAAGGAATATTTTGAAGCTAGGTGACAGTCACTGTTTTCCTGCCTCCTGACTTCCAAAATCATGGTTGAATCAAATGGGATGCAGAGCCAACTGACTCCAAGCTGTCAATTGGGGTCAAGCCTTGAGACAAGAGGCTACAACCTCAGCTGGAGTAGACCAGAGAGAACCAGGATAGAAGCTAAATCTGCACCTGTGCGCCACCTGCTGTCCAGACTGGGGAGAGAAAAGCCCCCCCACACACACCCCCACTGTGAGCAATCAATGAGCAACCTAATTCCAAGGAACTGTATCGTTTGACTTTCCAAGCCTAAAGCCAATCAACTATTTAGAAGATAACAATATGCAATATAGTAACTACTGTAAGTTTCCTACTGTCTTATCACTGTTTCCGTTCATTTTATTGTTCTGTTTTATTCCCTTTAAAATAAAATGAAGAAAAAAAAAGAGGCTATGACTTCCCAGGGCAAAAACGTTGACACATCAGACCTGAAGCACCAATCCCAAAACATCAGATATTACCTCAGCTGTTCTATGCAGATTACTCTTTCTGCATGTCCTTCTGAGTACTGCAAAGGTGATTTCAGACCTCCTGCCGAGCCCACCTCACAGTACTCATGTAGTTCCCACCATTCTCACAGTCACTCATCCTCAAACCACTCCCTTCTTCAGGCACTAAAATCTAGGTTCAGGCAGGGGTCTAGGCCTTTGTTCCAATGAACAAAGTTGGGGCTGGGCTTAGGACCTTGGCTCCCCAGAACTATAGTTATGTCTCAGTGTCCTTATTCTCACTGTGAGTTGCACTGGAAGTGGTAGATTGGAATTAACTTATAGGAATCCAATAACCTTTCCATGAGATTACAAATATAAAGTTCTCGAACTGAGACAAGCAGGAAGGGTTCTCCGTAAGAGGTTTATTGAACTATTGTATCTATGCCTCTGTGAAAGGTCTATTTGTGTACCTCTCCTACTTAACAGTTGGGTTGCAGATATCTTTCCCAGAGTTGTCTGCCTTTTTTTTTTGTTTTATAGTATTTTGACAGTAATTTACATATTTAATATAATCAAGTTTACTTCCTTGCTTTACTTTTATTTTGTGTGGTTATGAACCATAGCAATGCCTTTTTACTTCCAAAACTTTTGTATTTTTCTCTTTCATATAATCCTCCGCATCCAGGCATGGTGGTACATGCCCATAATCCCAGCACTCAGGAATAATCGCCATAAGTCTGAGGCTAGCCTGGACTACATAGTGAGATACTGTCTCAAAAAACAAACAAAAAAATTCTCCCCAAATTGGCGTCTTAGGCAATGCAAAGTTCAAATGGCTATGCAAGTGCTCGAATATTATTTTTTGATTGGAAATCAACCAAGTATGGCCTATAGATCAAATCGAAACCTCTACCTGCTTTTATAAAGCCTACTTGCTGGAAATGACTTTTACATTTTAAGAAACTGAAAACACGAAAGGTAATACTTCATGACCTATAAAAATTATGTAAAATTCAGTGTCCATAAAACTTTATTAGAACACAGTCACAATCCCTTGTTCAAGTATTGTCTGTGTCTATTTTCATATGACCCCAGCAGACTGCAGTAACTCTATCAGACTCTGTGATAGAATAGATAGCCGTGAAGTGCATACAGCTTAAAATATTCACTGTTTATTCCTTACAAAAATGTTTGCCAATACCTGAACAGTTTACTCTTTCCCACTGATACAAATGTTACCTCTATGGTAAATTAAGGTTTCATTTTCTAGGTCTGTTTTGGAGAGTCTACTCAATTCTGTTGGTCACTTTAACTCTTGCTGTACCAAAAAAAAAAAAATACTATCTTTAGCACAGTAACAATTTCTAAGAAGACTTATGCTATGGTTTGTGTCTGGATGTCCCCCCAAAGCTTCATATGGTCACGGGGACAGGCATCTAGAATTTGTGATTGATTCCAATGCTGAGATTATGGGTGTGAGTGCTATTCGTCCTAGGATGGGCAGCCTACATACACTATGAGGGACAGAAAATCTGCTCCCACATCCTCCCTGTTTGCTTTTGCTGCTTTTGCTGTTTCTTGCCACCATGAACTGTTTGTTTGGTTTTTTTTTTTTATCAGTACCGGGGATTGAACTCACGACTGCCTGCTTGCAAGGCAGGCGCTTTATGCCGCTGAGCTAAATCCCCAGCCCTTACCACCATGAACTATTGTCCTCCGCCATGAGCCACCCTACCTTGGACCCAGCAGAATATGGACTGAAATCTCCAGACTGTGAGCTAAATAAACCTTCCCTTTTTTAATTTTGGGTGTCAGGTATTTTGTCTTAGCAACATGAGGAAAGTAACCAATGCAACTTAATATGCACTTAGAAGAGTAATTGTTGCTTCTTTGTCAGCAAGGTTACTAAACCTCTTTACTTCTCCAGATACATTTCAAAACCTACACCAATATAAGGAAATCTGTTAGGATTTGACTTGGAATCATTCAATTATAGATGAATCTGAAAGATAAAAATGACATAGCTATGAAACTTCCTATCCATGAATATTATAGATATTATTCATGAGGGAGATTTCCTTTCTTTTTCTTTTTCACCATGTTCTCCATACAAGTCTCTGCGACTGGAATTTTAGTAAAGCTCACCTATAAAATCATCCAAGCATGCCACTTCTTTGTGTGAAAAATTTTAACTACTTATCTAATTCCTTCAATTGTTATAGGACAACTTTGATTTTTTATTTTTAATTCAATTTTGCTGTTTTGAGACGTGTCAACTCCATCCAAATTTTCCAACCTCTTGTCATGAAAGTATTTAGCCTTCCTGTTTGATCTCCTTAGCATACATATATATGGCTTCCATTTTATTCCTAAAATGTTACCTTATATATTCTCTCTTTCGTATGTTTTGCTTCATTTAACACTGCCCATCTTTTTCTTTCCTCTTTTCATTTTTTTCCGTCTTTTTTATGCAATACCTTAAATTGGATGTAAATCCATTAATTTGCAACTTTTTCCCCTTAATGTAAGGATTTATGTTACAAATTTCTTTCTCAGCATTTCTTTTGCCACATGGTTGAAATACTAACATCTCGTATTTCTGTTATCTAAATTCCATTGTTTTCTTCTTTGATTCATGATTTATCTAGCACTGTGGCTGCAAGTTAGCCTAGGGTTCTGTTGCTTGATTCCAGTGGGAAGGTGACCCTGAGCTGAGGCCGGAAGGAAAGGGCAGGTGAAAATGTGGGATCAGAGAGTTGGAGTTGGGTAATTTGAACCAGTGAGGAAGCCAGAGTGCTGACAGGGAAGACAGAAGAAACAAGGCAGAGGAAATAGGTAGAGGGCAAAGGGAAGTGAGGAGGTTTCAGGAAGAGGGGAAACCACATACTAAATTCCCTATGGAGGGAATTTTTTTCCACTTTTGAACACTGATGGACCCCAGCTCTTGAGTCTTAGATGTCACCTGGATCAAGGCCAAGAGCCCTGGCTGGCTGACGGCTTCTATTTGTGTCTATCAGGACCATCTTGCTGTTCCATGTGTATCCTGACAACCTGAAACACCCTAAAGTTGAGATCACCAGAGCTGGACTCTGTTTTCTGTGACACAAAGAACACAACATGCAAAGAGGAAGAGAAAATCATGGAAGGGCCTCCCCATAACTGAGTCCCGCTGTTCCCTCCACAGACTTCACACAAGGCAGTCTGACTGCATTTCCCCAAGAAAATCCTCTCTTATTGTGCTTTATTTTATTCCGTGAAAATAAACCTTATTATAAAACAGAATGAAATCCATAAACCAAACCCCAAACTCTAGCAAAACAAGACCCCCTCTGAATGTATAGTCACTCCTGACAGCACAGTCCTTTCGGCTTATTGCTTTTGTTTCTTGTTTCTTGAGAACATGACTCCAATGAGGCCCATGGCTGCCAAGCCCACTCCGGCGATGCCTGCCGCCATGACGACATCTCGGACCTGCAAAAGAGAAGGGGTGTGAGTTCACCTCTGTGTCGGGAATCTGCAAATAGGCTGAACTCAACAGCACCATTCAGCACAGAGAGTCTCACATGCCTCTTGGCCTCCTCCCCTGGTCAAACTCAAAAATCAACAATTATTGGCAGGAAAGAGTAGAACAGAGGGCTCAATGGACCAACAATCAGTGGATGGAGCCAGCTGGCCTGGAATTTAAATGGATCCAAAAATAGGAAACTCGATTCACCCTGTGCCTATTTAAAGTATTTAAATGCTCAGAGGGTTTGGAAAGGAATGCTCTGTGGAAAGGACAGAGAGATTATACCAGGATGGTCAAGGTCCTAGCTGGTCAATGGGGAGCTCGGGAAGCAAGTGTGACGTCAGGGAGGAATTATTTAGAACTCAAAAATAACATGATGTCCACCACATCAGTGTATCCCCAGGGCCTGGTCCTGCCAGCCACGAAAGTCCTCTCTTTGTAATCCTTAAGTAAATGGCTCAACTATTAACACTAGCTATACTTAAAGCTCTTAGGGACAGTATCTGACTTCTATTGCTTATAGCAGAAAAAAAAAGTATTGCAAAAAGAGCAAATTTTAAGGTAGAATTGAACATGTCTCAAATTGCACTCCCTCTTAAAACCTAATTAAAATAAAGTAAGACATTTGCTTCAACTGAAAGTGTAGCTCACTGGTAAGCACTTGCCTGGCATGTACAAGGCCTAGGATTCAATTCTCAGTACCTCAAACAAAACAAATGATAAAAAACATTTGTTTTAGGCATAATGCCACAAAGACACAAAATCCTAAGACAGTGGGAAAAGCTGAGGACCAACTCTAATTAAATCATAGAAACCTCTAAAAGGATGCTAAAAGAGGTTCACATATTGACAGCCCAGGACCTGAAAGAGGAACAGGATAAAAAGCTTTATCCAGGTCCATGGACCTCCTCTATCTCCCCTCCAGAAAGCTGAAAGTTCATTCTCTGCAGATGTAGACATGGTAAAACAAGATTTGGGAACCTAGAAATCAAGAAGCACACAAGAGGCTGTATCACACCACAAATAAGGAATTGAGAGATTGTGAATAGACTAAGTGTGAGTGTAACAGAAAATGCCCCTCAACCCCAGACAGTACACGTCAGTTTCTTAGTTGCCCAGATATAGTTCCTGTTCCAGTTCCAGCTGCTCTGATCTTTTAGAAATGGCTGGTCAGTGTGACACATACTGTATGAACCAATCCCCAGTTGGCAAGCCTCTGTACTTCCTGCTTGCTTACACTATATAAGCCTGGGTCCACCAGAGATCAGGACCTGATATTTTGAGAATGATCCTGCTAAGCGCCCACTGACATAAAATAAATCTGCCTCTAAGTCCTGGGTGTCATTCTGATGTTTCTCCTTTCTGTTGCTTCTGATGCATCAATTGGGAAGACCAATCACAGTGCCTCTTCCGTCACTGCTTCTGGTGCTTGTAGTCAGAGAAAGGACCTCTCCAGGTCCCAATGGGAAGGTGTGTCTTTGAGATTTCTTAAGTTCCCTCAAAGGTCTGGAGGATTCCTGGCTCCCCAATTGAGTTACTTGTATCCAACCCAACAAGGAGGAGGACACAATCTGTCCATCTGTCTGTCTACCTGTCTGATTCCAGTAAGACCCCCAGGCAGACCCCAATTCATCTGTCATTCCTGCTCAGCTTGAGCAGAAGGGTAGTCTGATCAATTCTTGTTAGTCAGGAGCACCCCCAAGAGAAGGAGACTAGAATGTTTAACAGCTGAGTGTGTGCTGACTGAATGTGTGAGTGAGTGGAATCATTGTGAGCAACAGGCTGCTCCACCTGTACACCAAGCCTGGGAAGCTCTGGTCTAGGTGGCTACCTGGGCCTTCATCTGCAATTCTGTAGTGATCAACATATGGCATAACAGAGGCTTCACACCCTCCTTAGCTAAGCTGTGCCAAAGTCTCCATAAGGGACACAGCCAAGCAGGCATTAAATGGTCTCTCTCTAAGGGGCACCCATCCTCTGTCTGTTGCATCGTTATTCAAGGGTATGCAATACACATGTAGGAAGTCAGAGACAGGAACTAATTAGCCAAAACCCATAGTTCCTGACTGTAGGAAAAAGGGATTTTCTGAGATTACAGAGTTAAAAATGAAACCAAACCACTCAAACAAAAAAGAGGCAGGTTCTTCCTGAGAATTCTGCCTTGGCACCCTCATCAGCTACCACAGCTGCTGCCAACACCGATAGCTTCACTCCCTACTTCCAGCCAACTGAACTGGTTCCAGCTACCCACTGCCTATATTCAGCCACAGAGGCTCTTCCTCAAGAGCCTTTCTCTTCCTGTCCTGGGCAGATGGCATCATTTAATGCCCACTCGAGATGACTGTCAGCAATTCCTTCTGAGTTCCACATTTTGACTGAGGAAAAATTGGACTGTAAGCCCTGACAAATGAGTTTTCATGGCCTTTTCCAAAGGTTGTCCCATCTAGAAACCTAAAATCAGTCAGCCCCTTCTCAAAGATGTCAAAAGGGAGAAACAGGGGGTCTGGGGAGATGGTGGAGCAGTAAGCAGTAACAGTAAATAGCCTCTCTGAGAGAAACAGTCCAGATGCTGGAATATAGTGTTCTGGAGAAGACAAAAAGGAAAGAAGTGGGTCCCTCAACCCAGGAAGAAACTAAAGTGAGAATTGAAGCCCACTAGAGAATAAAAAAAAGAAACAAAGAAAAAACCTAAACAGAAGAAAGCAGTATCTGGCAGTGCTTTCACCAAAGCTGGAACCACCATGCCACAGTGCTGTTGGAACCCAGAGACGCATAGGCACAGTGAAACTGGTGGCTAGCAAGCCCGAAGGCCTTGGCGGGGCAATGCGGTGGTGGAGGGGAGCAGCAGACCAGAGAACTGCACAAGCTGGCAGTAAGTGTGTGGGACTCAGTTCTCCCATGAGAGTGGGAGATTGGCCAGGCACCATTTTGGAGTTGGGCAGGATAAGCCTGGAAACAGAACTGCAGCTGGCTTCGTTCAGCCACTCCTAGCTCAGAGCAGACTGGTGTAATTTGCTTGGCCTGAGTCCTGTCCCTCTGTGCAGTCCAGTAGCCTCTGCCAAGATTTCCTAAAGCTATCCCTAACCAACCCCACCTATCCTGCACATACACTAATGTGGTGAAGACTTCCTGTGGTTAACCAGCTCATAAGGGAGGGTCAGCCTGCTCTGCCCCTATTTACACTCCAATAGCCACCAGCAGACTGGGGAAAGCAGCAGACAGCAGAAATCCCTAGCCAGCAGCTTCAGAGTAATTATAACCAATACAGGAAGTGCCAAGGAACTCACTACCCACTTGTCTGGAAGAAACCAGGAACATGACAAGAAGAAGAAGCAAAAGGCAGTCTCCGGCCTCCAACCCAAGCAGTACTTGTCCAAGAGATGTAAACACAGAAGAGATCAGGAGTTGCACACCTGCAGTTTTTGAAGCAACAGCAACTGAAATAAACAACTTCAAGAGGCTATAAAAGAACCTAGAAGAGAAATATTATCGCAGCTAAAGAAGAAATGAGAAACATAATAAAAGAATTGCTGAGCACCTATAAACAAGATACAGATAGAAGAACAGAGGTGCATAGAAAAAAGGAGGGAAACCTTCAATGAAGAATACAAAAAAATTTAGAACACATGAAACAGATTTAAAGAGATTACCAGGAAATTTAAAACTCCATTGAGAACTGGCAAAACTTCTTGAAAGAAACTAAAGATAGACTATCAAACCTTGAAGACAGGTTTGCAGCTTGCAATCACAAAAGGAAAGATCTCTTAAAAATAACAAGGAAACAGGACGTAATAATACAAAGGCTAGAAGATGACAAGAGGATCTATAACTTAGAATAAAAAACGTGAGTGAAGAAGCACAGGTAAATACAAAGACTACTTACAGAAATAATTAAAGAGAACGTTCCAAGCACAGGAAAAGGAAATGATATTCAGATAATGAACCATACAGAACTCCAGCCAGCTATAACCCAGACATATAATAATCAAGAGCCAGAAATTCAACACAAGAACAGAATATTAAAAGCTGTCAGAGAAAAGAAAGATCACTTATAAAGGAAAACACATCAAAATCACATCAGACTTCTTGACACAAACCATCAAATCAAGAAGAACTTGGCGGGCCGGGGATTTAGCTCTAAGTCCTGAAAGAAAATAACCTCCAAAAAAAAAAAAAGAAAAAAGAAAATAACCTCCAACCCAGACTGATGTACCCTGAAAAACTGTCTCTCAAAATTAATGAAGAAACAAGATGCTTCCATGACAAAGAGGAACTGGAGGAGTTCATGACCACCAAACCAACCCTACAAAAAATACTGAAGGACATTCAAGAAAAAGAGAGAAAAGGCCATGGTTTCAGGAACAGTGGCAGAGAGGGCTCACTGAATGGGTCAGACAGTGGATGAATGAAGGGGGAAATGTAGACAACCAATGGCAGAAAAATAACATGGCAGAGATGAGGCAGAGAAGGTTGGCTATAATCACTAATATAGGTGGCCTTGATTCACCAATAAAAAGAAACACAGGCAGAGTGGATCAGGAGTAGTGTCCTTAAATATGCTCTATATAATAAATATAATTAACCTGAAAGTGGATTTATAGACTAAAAGTCAAAGATGAGAAACCAGTGCTCTATGTGACAGGGAACCAGATAAAAGTGAGGGTAGTTTGGGCTTCCGGGAGAACATGGTGGATAGTTAACAGCAACTACCGGAGGCTCTCTGAAAGGCTCGGCTCAGAAATCAGGAATGATGCGGACTAAAGAGACATGAGCCAGTAGAGATATGCTCTGCTGACTCAGGAACGAACTGGGCTGAGAGAAACCAACTTGGAATGCAGTCCTGGTGCTAAAATAGGAACAGAAAAGTCTCGGTGTGGAGGCTGGACCCCGCGACATTGGAAACCGCGGTTTGGATTTCCCGCCGCTCGGCGGCTGACTGCCTCCACAGCGGCTCGGCAAGGAG